CGGCCAAACTGGCGAACGAACAAACGAACAAACGAACAGGCGAACAAGCAACGCCTGTCCTCTCTCGTTCTCCCCTCCCCCCTCTCCCCCATTGTCCCCGCACCGATCCACGGGGGAAGGAGGGCGCGCGTGTACATGGAGACGACGCTTCCGCCAACATTCGACGTTACATTCCACATTAACCAAATTATGATTTAAGGTCGCGTATTGTCGCAGCGTGCCGATTGTTCACATCCAAATAGTCCTTGAACAGGGAGAGTTATAAATTATAATATAATGCGAGCAATTGCCGCGTCGATCCGCGATGATTGTTATGTTATCAAACGACGAGGTTCGGGAAATTCTTCGAAAAAAAATTTTTTAATCGATATTCTCAATGAATAAATAACTAAGTAAACTGTGTTATCAACTGCGTAATTCTTCGAGAAGAAAAAAAGAAAGAAAGAAGCAACCTCTTCATTCCTCCTTCCCTCGTAAGAGGAGGATCGAATTCGAAGAAGAGGATACACTCCTCTCTCTCTCTCTCTCTTTCTTCCCCCCTCCACTTCGAGAAAAGTAAATAACAAAAGGGGAACGAAGAGTAGCGGAGGCGATGGATAAAACTCGATCGAGTGCGGCCGCGGAGAGGGAAAGGTGGGAAAAAGCGAAGAGAAAAGGGAGAGTGAATGAGGGGTGGGTGAGGGGGATAGAAACAGGCAGCCGGTCGTTAGATGGGTAGCGCGCGAAAGGTGGTCGGTGGAGAAGGAGGAGTAGGAGGAGGTGGAGGAGGAGCAGGAGGAGGTGGAAGGGCGGCGGTAGAAGGGTAGCCATAAAAGTTTATGCTCTCCATATGTTGTAATATAGTCGGTAGCAAGCGGCAGGGTGCGGGGGGAGATCGGTAAAATATGCGGGCAATAAGTATGGATTGTTATTAACACGGGGCGCGCGGTGTCCGCCGCGTTTCTGAATCCATTACCTCCGCATGGCGGCTGAAATACCGGCCGATATATCCGACCTGGTGTGTACATCGCCGCACCAATGGCGAGGGAAAGAGTANNNNGCATGAGCGCTAGATAGCGAATGCGAGAATGAGAATGAGAATGGGGGAGGGAGAGAGAGAGAGGGAGAGAGAGAGAGAGAGAGGAGAGGATTCGGAGAGCGTATGAATGGATTAGCAGGCGCGGTGCGGCTAAAATTACGATCGGATTTCACGTGCCCCGTACACCCAGGGCCAGACGTATACGTATGCACGCTCTCCTAGCCCGCGTGCATACCAACCCGCTATTCACTTTCCGTCACGCCAAGAAAATGGCAACCCGTGACCCTCCGTCACCCAATTTCGCGTCGATCCTTTCTCCAACGAGAAAAACATATATATATATATATATACGTATATATATATACGTATGTATATATGTGTGTGTGCGCGCGTATTATTAGGGGTTACAGTTCTTTTAAAGTTGGCTTATACCTACATGAGTAGGTATAGATAGGTAAGCCACGGGTCGGGGACTCGCAACACCTTTCCAGACTCTTAAAATGGAAAGACAAATAATGGTGGTGGAACGAGCGCGGCAGACGACTGATGGGTCTGGCATGGCTCTAACTAGACGCAATCAAGCGAGGAGCTTGGAGTTTGCGGCTGGTTACGAGGAGAGAGAGAGAGGGAGAATGGGAGGAATGAAGACTAACAGCGTGTCGCTCGGAGGCTAACCAGAAGTAATGCTACCTCGGATCAATCTCCCTCCCCCTCCTCCCTCCTATCCAGAATCCAAAGCCGCGACCGAGGACGAGATAGAGAGCGAAACTCTATCGCCGGACCCAACAACATCGACATCCACGTCAATCTTATTATCGCGCGTCCCGATAATTCTCCTCCTACGATTTTGTTCCACGCGTACGCCGACAAATGGATAAATTTCTTTCTTGCATATATCGTTGCATCGTTACGAATATCGGGTGAAAAATTTTTGAAAATTTATTCAAATCTCGGTTCTTTTTATTAGGAAGTTACGAAGGTTACGTCTCCGAAGATATTTTCTGATTCGCAGGAATGATTCCAAACTTTTGGAAAAGGTGAGAATTCGTTGGAGAGATAGATCCGGCGAATGATTTCGCAACTCTGAAAGTTTCCGTGCATTTGTAATTTGCGAGAAAAGGATACGAATATCGAAGGGAATTCATTTTAGAAAAAAAAAAAAAAGAAAAAGAAATGAAATATATCCAGTCGTATGCCCTAATTAAATTAAACCTCGCTCGATAATAATTTTCTCGACCAATTGTGACTCGTGTGATACGCATAATTTTTCGAGAATACGAGATGAATTAGAATCGAGGAAAAGAAAAATCTCCCTTCTCGAAGAAAATAAATAATAATAATGAGCGAAAGATATATAACTCGCGTATTCGCGGTGTATAAACGGTGTATACACAGATACGGGAGACGCGTCGTTTAAAGGCTGGACGAAAGTGGCGCAAAGGTGGGCGAGAGAATCGCGCGACGCGACCGAATCGCTGCGGTATTTATCGCTATCCGAAATACATTCATTTTCATTTCGAACATTACGTGCGAGTAGCGGAGAAGGGTGGAGGAGGAGGAGGAGGAGGAGGAGGAGGATGGCGATCGAAGGGGAACGAAAAGTGGTAGGGGAGTGGTGCGGGAGCGCGAGAGGGGGGGCAGGAGCGAAGGGAAGCATCAGCAGCACCGCCAGCAGCCAGGGTATTACCAAGAGCCAATGATATAGTGACTATTACCGTCACTACATACTCGTGCGCGGAGTGATGGCGGGTGACTGCGTGCTTCGATAGCGCTAAGCCTCGGGGCAGTAAAATACATTGGTCCGGTGGCTGTGATCCGGCCGTATCAATGCTGCCGCTCGCCCGTTATGCACGCGGACTCGCCACCGTCACACTCACTCTCCTCGCCCCCCTCCACTTATGCGAGGATCCACCACGAGAGGGACCCATCACGACCCATCACGGCCCGCTGCGAAACCTTTCCGTTGAAAACCGCTCTTAATCTTGGTCGACCGCCTAACTCGTCACCCACTTTTTCTCCTTGCAATCGTTGCTGCTGCCCTCTGCTCCCTTTCGTTTCAACACTCGTGCAACGTGCATAGAAAGTGTATGGAAGGTGTGGACTCGCTGTTCGGTTAAAAAAGTGATCGGTTAAAAATGTAATAATAAATAGAATAAAGTTTACCATTCGTAACTGTATATAATTATTATCAACAATAAATTATTATATGTAAGTAACTTTAATTTCGTAACTATTAAATTTTGCCCACCATTGATGTCAATGTTTTCGCAGGTTATGTTTGATTAGGCGTTCTCTCTTTTTTGCAAATATTCGTAGATAGTGTAGATACTTTATATAATTATATAGAAGGTATTCATGAACTTCTTTTTTCTTCCAAACGTTTATTCTTGCGGATTTAATTATTTATAGAACATATATATTCATGAGTTAGCTTTCGCTTGTCAGTCAATATTATATACGAATACACGAATGTAATCGTCCTTTGATTTCAACGGAAAATTTTACTAGAAGATCCTTCGTTGATCGATTTAGGTTACAAACACCGTATAAAGAGAATTCGTTTGCTATGCGAAATTTCGTTTTCTCTCGCTATATTTCGAATACATATCGATTTTCACCGAAACGCGAAATATCACGAATGATCGGTTCCGGTTAAGGTGCGAACCGCTCTTGGGTGAGAAACTTGGGTAATTTCCGAATAAGCGGCTCGTCTCTTGGGAATACGATGGGTGGGAAGAAGGGCGTCTTTCGCGGCCACGGACTTGGCAACTCGTTAAATATGCATATTCCGTGAGGAGGGCGAGTGTCGGTGCCGGAACTAAACCGAGGGAGAGCCGAGAGAAGAGGGGATTTCCATCGGACAGTCTTCCTCAATTATCCCACGGTTGACGATCTAATCGCGCGTACCGCACCATCGCGGCTGAAACGAAAGCTTTGGAAAACCTTTGAAGCCAGTCCACCTTTGCCTTAATACCGTCGCCTTAACGCCACTCGGAGTGTTTCATCCATTTTCCACCACCCGTTCCTTCCTTCCTTCCTTTCTTCCTTCTTTTCTTCCATCCTTCCATCCTTCCTCTCTTCTCCCTTTTTTGACATCGAACCTTAGATTAGGCGGGGAAGAAAACATGTTAATTTTCCAAATAATAGAGAAGCTCTCGACTTTATGGATTATGTTTTTTTATGGATCGGTGTTAGAAGGGGGGAAACGTTCTTCGAATAATCTTTGAATATTCGCGAGACACATCGATCGACCTTTCATTCGGGAAGAGCCCCCGATTTTCGACGATGCAATTCCGGCTGGAATCCCCGGCGCGATTCCGTCTCATTGTTCGCCGGTAACGTTCGTTGAAGAGAACCAACATTCGGTTATGCCAAATGTTCCGTGTTGGCAAACTATTCGTTAGTATCCCTGGAGATCCGAGTATAAGAGAAAGGTGGAAGAATATTTTTCGATCGATTTTGAATCTTAATAGGAGGAATGGTGATAAATATATATGAACGAAGAGAGAAAGGCAGATTATGAAGAATTATTCGTTCTCGATTTTCCTTTCTTCATGCAACTGAACGAAAGAAAGTGAAGGTAAAGAAAATTTTTCGATCGATTTTGAATTTTCAACGAAGTATGGTGATCCGTTCGATCTCGTTTCGTTCAACGTGTCAAACGTATGAGGGAAGGAAGAAAAGCAAATTATGAATGATTTCCTTTCTTCGTCCAATCGAATACAAAAGAACAGAAATAAAAAAAGAAAATTGCTTCGTAAAAAAAATTTTTTGATCGATTTTGAATTTTCAACAAAGTGTGAATAATTTATTCGATTACGAAGGAAGAAAGGCAGATCATCGAATGATTCGTTCTCGATTTCCTCTCTTCGTCCAACGAAACGGAAAAGAAATAAGAAAGAGAGTGAAAGTAAAAAAAATTTTTCAATCAATTTTGAATTTTCATCGCAGTATGAATAATGATTTCCTTTCTTTGTCCAACGAAGAATCGAATACAAAATAAAAAAAAAAAAGGAAGAAGAAAATGAATTCCTTCGTAAAGAAAGAATTCTTTTCGATCGATATTAAATTTCCAACGTATTTCGTTCGTAGAGATCGATCATCGATTCCCTTCCCTCCATCCGTTCTTCGATACGAACGCCGCGTATAATACGAAGGGGACGAATGGAAGGGAAGAAAGTAACGAGTTCCTTCGCAAAGAAAAATGTTTTAATCGATTTCGAATTTTCAACCCTCGCAATCGTCGTACGAGATCGTCGAGCATGATAAAGAGTGGCGATCCACGTGTAATCCCCGTGGATCCGTTATTCGCTGGCAATAAACAGTTTTCCGTTAATAGGACCGAGGTGGACCGAGTAGACCGAGTGGACCGAGAGGATCGAGTGAACACCGGGTGGACAGGGTAGATTGGGTGGGCCGGGTGGTGGGGGGACGGGTGGCGGAGGGTCGTGCGGTGGAACGGGTGGCGAGTGCTGCGAGTCTCGTACATTCGTAGAACCGCCGGTAAAATAGTAACAGCAGATGGTACAACAGGGAGGAGGTGAGCCGGAGCGAGGGTGGCATGCATAGAGGAGAAACACAGGGAGAAGGGGTCACGCTGCAAGGGTTGCTGGTTGGCTACAGCCTCGCTACGGAGGCGAAGCAAGTTGTATCTCACAGATCTGTCGCGTGATTAAGCTTATTAAACGCTTAACTCATCTTACTCTCCTCTTTCTCTTCCGTTTCATCTCCCTCTCCTCTCTTCCTCTCT